GTTCCCCTGTTCGTGTAGATACACAAAATTTTGGGATTGAATGGTATCGATCTCTTCTCCCCATCAGATGTTGTTGAAAAAAGAAATGTTCGGACAAATAATGTAAGACAAATAAAGGTAAGACAAATATTTAAGGGCACTATCAAAGAAAGCCAGATAAAAACATTTAAAGGTAAGACAAATAATGTAGGTGCAAATTTTTATGGAGTGTTTTATTTTGTTCAATAGACTTTCTTGATCAGTTCTTTCTTAGGTCATTATGCAAATGCTTTCTCCTTTCAGCTTCAATCGCAAATTTACTGATAATAGATCATTACCTTGATAGGCCCCAGACTTTGATGTGGTAACATACACTATAGCCATGCCAAAAGATATGGTGAGGGGCATTAGAAGAAGCTTGGAGACATCGCAATGTAGCTTTTCAAGTTCATCCATTATTAGCTCATATAAATATCAAAGTCAGAAAGTTAGGCAGGTATACTCATCAAGGATTAACGCCATAGCCATCAGCATGTATGAGCTTGCATATTGATAATATTGTATTTATAATATAGTATGTTGATAATATTGTGTTTTGATGGTTTGTTGTTAATATTGTGTTGATGGTTAATATTATGTTGATATGTAGTGTATGAATTCTGTATAGGATTATAAAAAAATTAGAAAATTTAAATATAATAATGATTTTTTTTTAATTTAAAAAAAAAATCCGCTACCTTTCTTAGAAAGGAGGGTAGCGGATTGTTTTAAAAAATATAATAAATTAATGGTATTCGCTACCCTTCTGTTTAAAGAAGGGTAGCGAATGCTTTACTTTCCGCTACCTTTACCAAGGGTAGCGGAAAGCTTAGGGTTTTCAGCGACCCTAGTATCCGCTACCCTTGTACAAGGGTAGCGGATAACCCTTTACAAAGGTAGCGGATGTATAGATCTGTACTAGTGTTTGACAGAACATAACAATTGTCAGAAGAGCGTGTTCCTTCCATTACAACTTGATCTGCTTTATCACTGGCTCTGCAGTAGTCTCGATTGAAGCACACATTCCAATTCTGATCACACCGCTGACTGATGCTAATAAGATTTGCTTTCAGGCCACTGACTAAGAGAACTTCGTCCAGATGTGGCAACCCTGGCACATTTAGGGTACCTTTTCCAACTATCTTTCCTTTTTATCCGTCCCCATACGTAACTGATCCACTGCTAGGTTGAACAGCCATGAGACACTTTACATTCCCAGTCATATGTCTGGAACATCCACTGTCGAAATACATTCTTGCTTCAGTCATAGAGGCGGTCAAAACGATTGTGGGATAGCATATTACTTCTGATTTCCTGACCCAAACCTGTCTTGTGAAGGGAGTAATAGACTTATTCTAATATTTCTCCTTCCTCTGATCTCTGTAGAAGAAGTAACATTCAGGTCGGGTGTGTCGTTTTGTTTGACAGTGAAGGGAGTAATAGACTTGTTCTAATATTTCTCCTTCCTCTGATCTCTGTAGAAGAAGTAACATTCAGGTCGGGTGTGTCGTTTTGTTTGACAGTAGTGACAAATGGGTACATATTGTCTAACTTTTACAAACTTAGTCTTGAACCTTAAGTACTGAGATTGAAATTTGACTCTGCCAGACTCAGTCTCAGTAATCCGAGTGTGCATGGTGCCTTTCTGATTTGACTGAATTGACCGTGATGATTGACCTTGTTCATAACTGTGAACTGAGTTGCCAACTGATGTACCTTCTTTGATAAACACAAGGGCTGTCTTCAAGGACTGTCCTCGTTCAAACCCGAGTCCCTTTTTATCATTTGGATTTCGACCAGAATCCAGAATTTTGTCTAAGGTAGAAGTGGTATCCATCATCTTGATGTTCTTCTTCAGGTCCTCCACTTCTTTTATCAGCTTTCCCTCTCGAGATCTTATATGAGTAATAAGATCTTCTTTTGTGACTAGTTCAGTGTTTAGTTTCTTCAGGAGTTCATCTCGCTGCTTCATATCTTCATTCAGATTCTTGTTGATTTTCACCAGTTGTTCCCAACTTCCAACTAGTTTAGCAAATTCCATTTCTAGTTGAATATGTCTCTCTTCAAAATCATCTGATGTTATGTACGATTCTTCATCGGTTTCATTATCTTCTAATTGATTTTCTGTATCTGTGAAGAAGGCTACAAAATTTCCCACATTATCATCAGACTGGTCATTTGCTGCTTCCTCTTCATCACCACTTAGGGTCGCCACAGACATAGCTTTCTTCCTTTGAGATATGTTGCACACTCAGCTCAGATTGTATATGTCTGAATCCTTCACACTCTCGACATTGTACTGATCGGTTTAGAGTTCTAACTGTGTCTGTTGGCGTATTTCTGATTTGCCTTGTTCGGCCAGTCTGGGACTGGCTGTTCTGTGTGAAGGAGGATGGTTATGTTTTCTGATATGAGGAGTTTCCACTTTTGTACTGTGTTCTGTTAGGTTGTCCTTGACTCATTCGATTGAAGCCTTTCAGTATTTTCTTGAAATATCTCCCTTTAACAGATCTTCAGTGTCAGTGCGTCTGTTGATAAACCTGATCAATCAGTCTTCTGTAAGAGTAAACAGACACCAAGCTAAACCTTATATTAATTTGCCATAATAATATTGCCAATTATATGTTGGGGTTTTGAACAAAATAAAACACTAACAATAAAGATTCCAGATTACCCGTAGGTGGTAAAAAAATATTTCTAACAAATGTATAAAGATCAAGTATATGGCATTCTGGATTTCCACGCAAATCTGCCTACACAATTATAACCTAAGCATGTATTAAAAATCTATGTTAGTGATTAAATATGGGCATCAGAAATAAAGATTCATCATTTGCCAAAGCCTAAAAAACAGTGTTAGTAACCAATGTAAAAAGAACAATATAAAAAATATAAGGGGGAACATGTGTATTCAAGTGTTCTGAAAAGTATTTGGCATTGTTGTTTTCTAAAAAAAACTGAAGAGTCATAATCATTGTAGTGCATGTCCAAACATTAATGATAAACACACAAAAAAGCATTCAATTGGTAGCAAATCTATCATACCACAACTACAATCACAAACCAAAATTGGAACATACACAAAAACATTTGAAATGAGGAAAATATTTTCTTCTACAATAATAGGCAGCAAAAGGAAGAAGATAATCGACAACAAAGGTATTGGCTACAATATCAAAACTTTAATTTAAAGCTTACCTCAATGATTGTACTTAACTGCAGACATTTTCATATGCTATTTACCTGTATTGTGTCATGCTAACCTTCTCATCTGTATACTTGAGATATAGACATCAAAACAGCACCATTGAAAATTAAAGATTAGTGAAATTAGTTACAACCCTAGCTCATTCCAGGGAAAAAAAATTCTTTTTATACCAAAAAACATATACAAATGTGTACAATATGCTAACATACGAAAACCCTAAAACCCTACTCTACTCAATTATACCAAAACCCTAATACAAATATAGCATCATAGGAGCATATCATCTAGAAGTTTTATGAGACTAAATCATAGATAGCTAATGAAATACAAGAGGAATTATACACAATATTTGACGAATATAATTAGGGATCAGTTACTTAGCTTAGTCGACATCCTTCCTCTGATTTCGCCAACTCTTAACAATAGTTCCAGATCTGCTGTGAAAGAACCAGACGAAGAACACATAAACCCTAAAACACTAATTTAGACCTAAAATTTACACAACAACAACGGTAATAAGAGTCAACCCTAACGTGCAGAACAACAACGACTAAACATAATCCTTAATCAAAACGGAAAGTAGATTAAGAACGGCAACTGTAGAAGATATCAAAACGGAAAGTAGATTAAGAACGACAAGTGTGTCCCTTGCGATTCGGAAATCGCCAGAGCGAAAGCAAGGGAGGTAGAGAGAAGACGAATCGGCAGATTATGTGGAATTGAGGGGTTGCCCGATTCATATTGCTTTAGTATTTGGGTCGGGTTTTGGGCTGCATTTTGGGGTTTCGATTTGGGTTGTATTTTTAGAAAACAGTTTGGGCTCAACATACATAGGAATTATTCAGTATAAGCTTTTGGAAACTAATCTGTTATATTCTACGTAGGATTGTCACCAATTACACAACAACATATCAGAGACGGTGCAAATGGTCAGTCATCGTGCACAAACCAAGCTACATTATTTTTGCAGTCATCAGTGAGAGTTTCCAGTTTGAACAAATCATGTCCTGAACAACCAAATACGTCTCAAGTTTCAGAGATGACTGCTTACAATATTGGTATGTGTAATATTATTCGTTCTTCTAATTCATATGTTTTAATGAAACTAATGGGTTTGCAATTATCAACTTAGTGGAATACAACGATCTTGGTGATGCAACTATAACATGTCAACACTGTGGAGCGCTTTTTTGGTACGAAGAAAGGACACACAAAACAGATAACCGCGGCCCACCAAAATATAACCTCTGTTGCAACAATGGTAAGATTTAACTGCCACAAACGATGATGCCACCACCAGCGATATATGATCTTTTTTTTTTTTTTTTTTTGGAGAAGGAGAAAAAACCAAGCAATTCCTGCACAACATTAGAACATACAATATATGTTCTGCTTCACGTCGATGGGGGGTAACATAGACCGAACCGTCAACAAAACCGGTGGTCCACCAATTTTCCGTATAAATGGACCAAACTTCCACTACATTGGTAGTCTCTTGCCGATAGACGGAAAAAAACCTCATTTTGCACAGTTGTATATCTATGATACCAATAATGAACTAGGCAACCGTGTCAATTCTGTAAGGTAAGTGTGCAGGCTTTTATTTATAAATTTTATGCAAATTTAGTAGTTTTATTCATTTAAAGGCATGTTCTGATTATTTACCTATTCGCTTTTTAGGCAAGATGGTCAACAAAATGACATCCATGTGGAAATTGTTAATGCTATTCAACAAGTTTTGGATGACAAGAATGTGTTGGTAAAAACATTTCGCATGACACGAGATGAACTACAAAAGAATCCACTGGCTGAGGTTAAGATAAAATTTCTTGACAAGAGATCAAAGGATGCGAGAACATACAATTTGCCACAGGTTTCAGAAGTAGCTGCGTTGATTGTTGGTGATATCGATACCAATATTGGAGAACGCGACATTTTGGTGGAAACAAAGAGTGGTCTATTGAAAAGAATTAGTGAATTAAATCCATCTTACTTGCCAATGCAGTACCCTTTATTGTTCCCTTATGGAGAGGACAGTTACAGGGATGACATTCCCTTCTCAACATTAAAAGGAAACACAGCTGGTGGACGTCAAAGGATAAGCCCTAGAGAATATTTTTCATACCGTATACAGTCTTGAATCTCGGAGGTATCAACTTTATTACATTCAAAAAGGCTTTTCCAACAATTTCTGGTTGATGCCTATACAATGGTGGAGTCCGGAAGGTTAATATATATAAGGACACATCAGAAAAGTTTGAGGTGCGAATCATATAATTGTTTGAATGATGCATTAACACGCGGTGAACTTGACCCCAATACTCAAGGAAAAAGAATAATATTGCCTTCGAGTTTTACGGGTGGTGCTAGATACATGATACAAAATTACCAGGACGCCATGGCGATCTGTCGATGGGTTGGATATCCAGATTTGTTCATAACATTCACCTGCAACCCCAAGTGGCCTGAGGTACAACGCTTCTTGAATTATAGAAAATTAAAACCAGAAGATCGTCCTGACATAATATGTCGAATATTCAAACTGAAGTTGGACGCCTTACTGTCAGAATGCCGAAAGAACAATTTATTTGGGCTAGTCATTGGAGGTACGTAAATAAAAAACCACTATTTTAATGATGCATTTTTACACCAGAAAAAGGTTAACAGAGTTTTCTCTATTCTAAAATTTGTTATCTTTTTCAATGTTAACAGTGATCTATACCATAAAGTTCCAAAAAAGAGGCCTACCGCATGCTCATATACTTCTGTTTCTAGATAAAAACAATCGAGGACAAAGTGGGGTAAATTTGGACAATATCATTTCAGCTGAGTTACCTGATCAAGAAACTGATCCAGAATACTTCAAAGTAGTTGAGGAGTTTATGATGCATGGTCCTTGCGGGAGAGCACGGTTGACTTCTCCATGTATGGCGAATGGTAAATGTACTAAACACTTTCCCAAGAAGTTTGTTAATTGCTCAACTATGGACGAAGATGGTTATCCTATATATCGCAGACGAGACAATGGTCGTTCTGTGATGCGCAATGGTATTCAGTTGGATAATAGGTAAGTAGTACCACACAATAGACATTTGTTGTTGAAGTATATGGCTCATATTAATGTAGAATGGTGTAATCAGTCCCGTTCAATCAAGTATTTGTTCAAGTACGTCAACAAGGGGCACGACAGGGTGATAGCAGAGTTTTACAAAACCAACAGCAATGAAGATTGTCCGAAAGTTGTTGATGAAATAAGTATGTTCTATGATTGTCGGTACATTCACCGTGTGAAGCATCTTGGCGATTATTTGGATTTGATATACAGTTAAGGACACCATCCGTTGAACGATTAAGCTTTCACTTGCCAAATCAACAAAGTGTCGTATTCGCAGATGATGATCCAGTTGATAACATACTAAGCCGTCCAACAATATTACAAAGCATGTTCTTAGAATGGTGGTTTGAGGCAAATAAAACCTACCCTACTGCCAGAGAACTCACATATGCTGAAATGCCAACTAAATTTGTATGGAAGAAAGATGTTAGGAAATGGCAACCAAGGAAAAGAGGATTTGCAATAGGTAGAGTTTTCTATGTGCCACCTAGTACAGAGGAGATATTTTATTTGAGATGTCTTTTGAATAAAGTGAAAGGGCCAACAAGTTATTTAGATATCAAAAAAGTAGATGGTGTGCAATACGAATCTTTTAGGGATGCGTGTTCTGCAAGAGGATTAGTAAACGACGACAACGAATATGTTCATGCTATAGAAAAAGCAAGTCAATGGGCGACATGTGTAAATTTGAGAAGATTGTTTGTCACTCTCTTAATGTCAAACTCAATGGCAAAACCAGAAGTTGTGTGGGAAGCTGCGTGGAACTATTTGTCTGAGGATGCACAATTCAAGATTCGAGAACAATTGGGAATTACAGGTAATATTTTGTTTCTATAGTTTCATGTTGTACAAATTATTTTTATACACATACTTATAATATGCGATTAATAATACTATCACAGATTTGATTTTATCTGAAGATGAGAAAAAAAAAATTCGCACTTAGGGAGATAGAAATAATGCTTTCTGCTATGGGAAAGAGTTTGAAAGACTTTCAGTCGATGCCATTACCGGATTTAGAGAATCATGCTAGAACCACCAATCGGTTGATACAAGAGGAATTAGCATATGATATTAATGTCATGAGGGAAGAGAATGATAAGTTGGTGCAACAACTCACCGAAGAGCAAAGAGCTATATATGACAATGTATTGCAAGATGCTGAGAATAATCTGGGAGGCCTATTTTTTGTTTATGGATACGGTGGAACGAGAAAAACATTCTTATGGAGAGCATTGTCTTCTACTTTAAGGTTAAAGGGTGAGATAGTCTTAAATGTGGCATCAAGTTGCATAGCATCTCTTCTACTACCAGGAGGAAGAACTGCACATTCAAGATTTGCAATGCCAATAGCTGTTAATGAAGATTCAACTTGCAATATCAGCCAAAGTAGTCATTTGGCACAGTGTATCATGCAAAGTAAGTTGATCATTTGGGATGAGGCACCAATGATGCATAAATTTTTCTTTGAAGCTTTGGACCGTTCTATGAGAGACATCATGCGTGCCAAAAATCCAAAAAGCTTGGATATAACTTTTGGTGGGAAAACCGTGGTGTTAGGTGGAGATTTCAGACAGATTCTACCAGTCATTCCAAAGGGCATGAGGCAAGATATTGTGAGAGCAAGTATAAATGCATCATATCTTTGGAGAAGCTGTAAAGTATTTAGGCTAACAAAGAATCTCAGGCTTAGGTCATTGTAATCAGATACTGAAGTTAAAGAGATTGAAGAATTTGCAAAGTGGATTGCTAATATAGGTGATGGAACAATTGGTGATTCTTTGCATGGAGAATGTGAGATAAATATTCCTGAAGAATTTGTGCTAACTTGTGTTGAGGATCCAATTTCTACAATTGTTGATAGCATATTCCCTATGTTCCGCAGTGGTCACAGTGATATTCAATATCTAAAAGATCGTGCTATTTTGGCACCAAGTTTGGATATTGTGGATGCAGTAAATGAATACATGAATGACTATAATAATGCCGAAGGAAGGACGTATCTCAGTTGGGATTCGGTTTGTAAATCTGATTCAAATGTTGACATGCTTGCTGATCTACACACTCCGGAATTTTTAAATGGATTAAGGTGTTCAGGTGTTCCAAATCACTCATTGACTCTAAAAGTTGGCTCACGAGTTATGCTTTTGAGGAATGTTGATCACTCATTGGGGTTGTGCAATGGTACAAGAATGATCATTTCAAAGTTGGCAGATCATGTTTTAGAAGCTCAAATACTATGCGGGGCAAGTGCGGGAACAAAGGTCTTAATTCCAAAGATGTCCTTAACACCGTCTAATCCAAGATTGCCTTTTAAGTTTCAAAGGAAGCAATTTCCACTGATGTTGTCATATGCAATGACAATAAATAAAAGCCAGGGGCAGACACTATCCAACGTGGGTTTGTTTTTGAAGAGACCGGTTTTTAATCATGGTCAAATGTATGTAGCAGTGTCAAGAGTTAGTAATCCTAAGGGATTAAAAATTCTTATTTGGGATGAAAATGTAAAATCTAAAAATATGACTACAAATGTCGTATACAAAGAGTATTCAATAATGTCTAATAAATTTTAAATAGTTCACTATCCAATTATTTTTTTGACAATTATACTATATATTATAATATGTATACATATTGCCGTGCACCGCACGGGTGCAACTACTAGTATTGTACTAAGGATTAGGGATTTAAAACAAAGCATAGGGTAAGTGAGATGCACAAAAGTGTCCAAATGCCACTATCGTAGCTATTTGGACTTGCAACTTCACCTTAAACTCCACTCTCATGGCAATTCAATCCAAGGTTGCCCAAACAAGACAACAAGGCATAAATTCTCCTTAACACCCGAAATACTCTCATATTGGGCATCAAATGTGTGAATGTGTGGCTAGTGTACAAGCTCTACCACCGTAGCAACAAACACACTCCAAATAAAATATATAATAGGGATCTAAATATTATACACAATTTCACAACAAATCCAAATCACACAACAAACCCTATAACACCCAAATAATCTCTTTTATGCAATACAACTCATATAGGCATCAATAGCAAGAAATCAAGCAAAATCCTAGTCTCAAAACACTTAGCTACTCATAATATAACAATAGATACACAATCTTAAAGGAATAATTGAAAGCATAAATGAAAAGTAAAGGGAAGAGATAAATAGAAAACTTCTCTAATGAAGCCTTGAAATCCAAGATTGCAAAGTGTTCTTGAGCTTGGAAGTGAAAAGGAACAAGAAATCTACACTAATCTAAGCTATTTAGAGCTAAACCTAACTAGGGAATGAGAGGAAAATGAAATATATGTTTTTTGGGTAGAAGAAATCCCCTTAAAACAAAGCAAAAAGGTCTTAAAAAGTGTTGCAAAGGCTGGGCACGGGTACGGGCACGCCCACGGCCGAACCCGTGCCCAGGAAACAAGTGCCTACTAGATTGTAGGAAAGGGTAGAGGCATGGGCGTGCCTATACCCGTGCCCACTGGCAGAGTCATATTTCCTACACAGTTTGTCTAACTTCTTGACTATTTTTCACCTTCAAACCTTTAATTTAGTCTTTATGGTCTTTATCAAAGTTGTAGCCCTTCAAGTTGGCTTTCCAATGGCATAAGATTCACGTGATTCGGACACTCCAACGCTGAGATATGGTCAAAATACTGAGACATCGTCAATTTGGGCGAGAAATACCACCTTACTATCTTTTGCTTTGCCTTTGCATTGAATTGCCTATATCAACAAGACCACAATGGCACAAATATTTGACACATGAAAGAGTGTTGTTCAATCTTCTTCTCTTCATTTTGCCTCACAAAAATATCCTCATGCTATGATGACTTGAAATCTCGATCAAATAACTCAAGGCTTGACTTGTGTAGTAAGACTAAGTTATGTCAAATTTTCGTATGTTTTTCCAACTCAGAGCCACTGTCCGCGTTGAACGAATAGTCATCATTTGGTTTTGTCACCTTTCGTACATGACTGTTCGATTTGACCAAAATACCGAATAGTTACTACTCGTATGTAACCTTCCAGGTACCATTCGAAATAGTTACCTTTCGAACTACTCACGTTTCGAACCATTTAAACTACTCTTCGGAGTGTCTTTCTGGGTATTAATTCTGATGTTACAGAACTAATTACGAATTAATTTTAATTTTTAAATTTTAGAATTAATTCCCAAAGTAATGGTTGTCTGTTAGGAAAGTTACAAAGATGGATTTATTTTAGTTGTTAATGTCATGATAAATGTTATTTATTTCTCCATCTCCTAATTACCAGGTAATTTTACTATAGTCAATGGACCATTTCGGTTATCACATGTACCATTTCCTCCAAAAAATTAATTATCGAAATGATCTCTTGACTATAGCAAAATTACCAATTTGATCCTAAGTTAACAGATGTCCTAAATTAGTTAAAATTTTTTAAAATGAGGGATTTAATGTTGGAATTTTTAGCTAAAAATGGCATTTTGAGTGATTATTTTGTGGTGCAAATATATGTAGGTCCACTTCTGATTTGGGTCGGGTAAAAGTGGATTCGGGTTCTTCGTAGTGAGACGAAAAATTAGATATAATGTACGCTCAAAATGGGTAATAGGTGAATGAGAAATTGATTCTCAAGGTGAACCTATTTGAGAGAAGTCCAAATGACGAAAGGATAATTAAGCAAGTAGTTAATTAGCATTTTATGCTAATGAATCGTTAAGCACGAGATGTGTTTTTGTTAAGCTTTGAGCTTAAAACACGACAGTTTAATTCAAGTAATGTGCTGCTAGCACATTACAAAGTGATAAGATTTGAAAAAGCTTATTTTGGAGAATTTGGAGTGGAGCTCCTTTCGTGCTACACGAAAGTTGAGTAATTAAGCTTTGATAGCTTAATTTGAACATTGGAGAATTGGAGCTCCTTTTGTGTTCTTTAGTGAGCTCCTTTCGTGATGCACCGTTTCGGTGCGTGTGGACCACTCGCGTGTGGTTTTCGGTCCCAATTCATTAACATTTCGGGTTTATACGGACTTCTCGGTCACTCAGATATTTTGAAACGGGTCGTTGTGGTCGGTACGAATTAATCGCGTATTAAGTTCATGACCGTTGATACTATTTCGATAATAAGTACGACCGTTTCAAATGTTATGATCCAATTATTAAATTGGATTTATGTTGGTTAATGGCCATTATAATGCTACTTAATTCCCCTTTCCCTACATATAGTTTGTTATGTTGGCAGAATGTTTGATATATGATTTTTGAAAGTCTCAAAACATTTTGTTTTTCTCTCAACTCTCATTCTTGGTTTCAAAGAGAAAATTGTTTGCCAACATAATTCCGTAAAACATCGGAGTGCTGAACTTGTGTTCTAGTTCGCTGGGCTTTGGGTTGGAGTGCTCGAACGCCAAAGTCGTAGTCCGTTTTATCCTGGGAGACTGACGCCACAACGATCCTAGCACCCTCGGGAGGTGGCGAATCGGTTTTAAGGAGAGTGTGTGTATACACGACTCAGGCTTCCTCTGCTTCTTCTTTCTTCGCGTTGGGTTAAAACCTTAGGTTTGAAACCCGTTCTTGCTTTTATTTTGTTCTTGGTTTCGGACCAAGTGGTGGGATTAATCTCGGAAAGATTAAATCCTTGTACTAGTTTCGTACTAGTTGTGGTGGGATTATTTTGATAAAATAAATCCCTAGTTGGTTAATATATATATATATATATATATATATATATATATATATATATATATATATATATAATTTTGGTTTTGAACCAAAATTGGTTGGATTTAATTTTCTATAAATTAAATTCCCTTTTTCGGGGCAAATATATATTTTATATATATTTTGTGTAATATTTTATATATATTTTGTGTATCATTTTGTTCACCAATTTACAACAATCTTAAAACCGATTATTTTTTTGGTGATTAAATCGATGAATTCCACGAGTGGTGGAACCGTGAATGTTGCTCGTGGTGCACATTCAAATGGTCGGATCGGTAACGTAGTTGCACTTTCCGAAACCCCGGTGAACTTTGGTTCCGAGACCGGTGATGGCATCAAAGGGTATATCCCTACGATGAAGGTACATGGGACGGTACCTTGTGGATTGGTCGAAAGACCATGGAAATTCAAGATGTTGAATTTCGAAGGGTTGCAACTTAAAATGTTTTACAACCTAATGATTCTCGGAAGGTCATGGTTCTTGACCGAGATGGTTCCTAGTGGAAAGGAACATGCGTCTAACGCTCAAACCGTTAGCATAGTGAGGATTTGGAAATATTTGGTTTTCTTATGCCTAAACTATGTTTTGAACGGTTTGTGCGACTCGTTGTGGGAATCTTTGGACCTAAAGTATAATAGTGATGATTCTAAGGCAAAAATATTTGTCGTTACCCGATTACTTGAATACAAGATGGTGGATTACGGGATCGTCCTAAGTCAAGTTGAGGAAGGAACGATCGTGAGTGAAGCCTTTCAAGTGGAACCTAGTATCCATTTGTTGCCTTTGGGCAGAAAGGACTTCAAGAAGCAATTCTACAGAAGATGCTTCATTTGTGGCATTATGGGTCACAAGTGGACTGATTATAAAGCACTTAAGAGGAAGAATGATTATTCGGAATCTAACGTGATGCGGGTCAATCAGAATGAGTCCGAAATCATCCTCTCGGCAATGGTGACCGAGGTAAACCTGGTTGGTTCGAACCAAACGGAATGGTTCATTGATACGAGTGCGACTCGACATATGTGTTCCAACCGTAAGTTGTTTACAACCTTCGAGACGACTAATTGTGGGAAGGTATGGATGCGAAACTCTGCTCAGTCTGTTGTGGTAGGCATGGGCAAAGTAGTTCTCAGAATGACTTTTGGAAAAGAGCTGACTCTGAACAACGTCTTGTACGTACCGGAGCTACGGAAGAACTTAGTTTCTGGTTCATTGTTGAACAAGAATGGCTTCCGGTTAGTGTTTGAGTCAGATAAAGTCGTTTTGTCGAAATCGGGAATGTACGTAGGCAAGGGTCATGTGCTAGATGGGCTTTTCAAGCTCGATGCAATAACCGCAATTAATAAAAGCGTTATTAGTTCAGCCTACTTACTTGAGTCTTCGTGTTTGTGGCACGGTAGACTGGGTCATGTTAATTTTAATTCTATACGTAGATTAATTAATTTGGACCATATTCCTGCATTTCAAGTTGATAAGCACAAATGTGAGATTGTGTTGAGGCAAAACAAACGAAAATTCCTTTTAAATCGATTGAAAGGAAAACAGAACCACTTGAGTTGGTTCATAGCGATGTATGTGATTTTAGATCAATACAATCGCGCGGTGGTAATAAATATTTTATCACGTTTATCGACGATATCACACGATACTGCTATGTGTTTTTGCTTAAGAGCAAAGATGAAGCCGTTGATAAATTCATTCTTTATAAGAATGAAGTGGAAAACCAACTTAATCGGAGGATTAAGAAGGTTAGAAGCAATCGAGGTGGTGAGTACAAAGCACCTATTGGTACTTCTGTGCAAGTGTAGGTATCATACACGAGCGTACGACACCTTACGCACCTCAATCGAACGGT